TGACTTATTAAATAAAAAATACAGCTGTCATAATTGTTCGACAAAATTTTGATAAATTACCAACTTATCCGATCAATCTAATATATGACGTTGTAAACATTTTGATGGGATAGTATATATTTGAGAAAAAAAATCAGACATCTGTTTGAAATGTGCTAACTTCAGCTTATCGTATAAATAACACATTGTCCTATTTTTTCTTTTTTCTAATACTTATCCGAATAGTTAGGGATATACAATCAATAAAAATAAAAAAAAATTAATTAATTTTTAAAAGATGCCATTTTTGAAAGATATTAATTAATGAACAGTTAAATGAATTTTCAAATTCTTAAATATTGAATATTATTAATTTTTTTCAAATATTTTTGCATGAAGAAATTTATATATTTTGCATTAAAAAATTTATTTACTCTAAGCTAACGTATATATCTTTTTATTTCATTAAATTTTCAAATAAATCGTAACATTAAATTGTTAGTGAGTATCTTTTTTGGAAGATTTTAATCTCATATTACATAAAATTTTATCATTTGGAATGGGTTATTTAAGATGGAAAATTTTTGTTATGCAAAATTTCTAATTCACTTAATTTTTCATCTTTTGCATGAATGCAACCAACTGAATTGACTATACAAAAAATTGAACAGAATTAAATTAGAAATTTATTACACGTTGATAATGATAACTCTCTGATACCGCAGTATTGTGCAATATTTCGAAAATAAATATGCTAAAATTTGCGATGCCATAAACGAAATATCACTGATAATTTTTATAAAGCTAAATATTTTATTACCAAAATGATGCGCTCCAATTTCTTATCATACATCTTCATCGAATCATTTTCAATGATATAATTTTTTTTTTCAAAAAAGGTAAGAAGAAATAATTCAAACCAAAAATCATTATAATCATTTGAAATAAAAATGCGAAAAAAATATGCTTAAGTAATTAGAAATGATTCCGTGAAAATTTTAATTTCAACATTTTCTTGAATTTTCAATCTAATTTCATTTCTTCCTAGTTTTTCATATTTTCGTTTGCTATTTTTTTTTTCAAACATAATTATCAGCTTTTTTCTTCCAAACACAATTTTTTTTTTTCATTCGAACATAATTTTTTTCTCAGGCATAATCATTTTTTTCTTTCAAACATAAAAATTTAATTTCATTTTTTTGCTAATTTTTTTTTTCAAACATAATTATATTTTCAATATGATTTTTGTGCTCGCTTACATATGCGAATTTTTCTAATCTAACTTGATTTTGTTAATTTTTTTCTTAAATTTATATAATTTAATTTGATTTTGCTGATCAATTTATATTTTCAGTGTGATTTTGTATTCGTTTGCGCATCCGGTGATTCGAAAAGCGTTATGAATTTATTAGCTGATGTAAGCTACGGTGAATTATGCTCAGGGCTAATTGCAGCATCTAGTCGTGGGCATGCAGATATTTGCAAGCTAATATTGCAAACAGATCCACAGGTAGCTAATTATGTTGATCCGCAACAATGGAATGCACTACGAGCAGCGGCATGCAACAATCACGATAATGTTGTCGATCTTCTCATACAAAATGGTTACATTTTCCAAAATTAATTTTTACATTTACTATATTTAATTGATTTGTGCTTTGCAAAAAATATTACCAAAATGATACATTCATTGATTTGATTAAAATTTACACTTCAATATATTTAAAATAAAAATTAATCATTATTAATCATTTGGAAGTATTAATTTAAATCATTCTTTGGAACATTTAGCTAATATTATTGTTATTAGTGCTATCAATGTAAAAGATGTATTGAAAATTCTCGTAAATTTATTACTGCAAACCTTTTTTGTTTTCTGGCGGTATTAATTTTAATAATTCATAAGTATTGATAGGTGGTGTAAATATGCGTAAAATTTGATTTAAATTAAATATTTTCATTGACAAATACGTTAAATAGATGCTTAATGACCGGAAGGCATATTTAGGCACTTGTCATTTTGTCATCAATTATTATTATGCTATTATATATTATCCGGATAGTATGATATAATTAAAACCTTCTTTCTTCCAATAAGCATATGGTCATTAATTAATGGAAAGGCTTTCCATTGAAGTACTTCATCATTTCATATTCATTCATATAAAGTATTTTATTATTTGGACCCTCATAATCACAAATCATCATAATGACCATCAAAGGGACTGTCAATTTATTCATGAAATGATTTATAATTTGGAAAAACGAAAAGTATATAGGAATTTATTTTAAAGATATGGAAGTGGATGAATGTGGTGAAGGTGGACGAACAGCACTTCGAGCTGCAGCATGGTAAATTTCATTTAATTTTATTGTTTAAAAATAATTTATTTGAAAAAAAAAAAACGGCAACTTTTTACATATATATTAAAATGCAACAAAGATGTAATATTTTTCACTATAACAATTTTTTTAATAAATTATAACTAAATTAGTTTTTTTTTTTTCATAAATTCATAGCAAAATAAACTTACTAAAGTAAAGCATATTGAATTTCTTCTTTTCATTTTTCCCTAATAATATTTTGTATTTTTTTGATTGCTCTTTTTTTAAATTAATATTTTTTTGTAGTTAGAGTAAAAAAAAATTGCCTCATTCATCTTATCTTTTTCTTCTACTTCTTTATTAAATTCAATTTTGACATTGGCAATATTCATCATTGGAGTGGTTTATGATGAAGTTTAAATTCATGATAAACCAATAAAATCATATCTGTCGAATTAAATAAATTTTGAAATTTCGTTTATAGCGCCTATATCGCTTTTGTATTCCTCATCAATTAGTATTATAATTTGCAAACTTAAATGATCAAATATCCTAAAAGATTTCAAACTTAATTTATTCATCATATAAGATAATTGTTGAATTTTACCTATTAATTTACGAAAATAAAAATAGTTTGTTATAGTGATTGTGATTTATTGTTATCATTTTAAATTCAATAACACATTTATGGCATTTCTTCATCGTGTAAACAATAAGAAATTAAAATGAAATTGAAAGATTTCATGAAAATGTTGATGATTAATTTGTGCAAAAAGATATTTTGAATAGATGAGATATAAGAAGAGAAAATAAATAATTAACCTTTGTGAGATTCATTTTAATGAAATGACAACATACAAATCACAAATATAGAACATGAGATTGAGATTGAATTTGATTAACACTCTCGTCTAGAATTAAAATAGCAACTTTTGAATTATTCATAAGGAATGGAAGAGGAAAAGCGAGGAAATATTTAAGGGAAATTGCCTTAGCATGATTGATTATCTGTAATGATAATATTGACGAAGAAGCAGAAATAAAATGAGGATATGCATTGGGCATATAATAAAAATTAACTTAAAAAATAGAAAAACATAATACTGACAACCGCTATATTTATTTTGCAAATATTTCATTTAATTTTATTTCAATCCTATTTTTACAGTCTTTTTTTTTTATTTGCTGAGAAAATAAAAAGAAAATAAAAAGGAAAATTAAATTAAAATCAAGGAAATTATAGGAGTGGACATGAACGTGTCGTACGACGTTTGCTGAAATGTGGCGCAAATGTTGATAAACAGGATGCTGAAGGTCGTACGGCACTAATGGCTGCTGCATTTATGGATCATGCAAATATTGTTAGCATACTTTTAGATAATGGTGCTACACCAAATGTAAATTTTATTTATTCATTGGAAATTTTTACAGCATTTATTTAATTAATAATGATAGGTTAATTGCTATTTAATTTTATGCTATAATATTTTGTTAGTGATAAATGCACATGAGAAATGAATAAGTGATAAGGAATTGAAATGTGAAAATTTTTAAAAATATAATTGCTAAAAAGCAAGAAGTGAAATGTGAAAATTTTTGAGATTTTTTTTTTTATCTAATTATTAAAAGATAA